CTTCGCACGATCGGTGAGTGGGACCTGCCAATAGCCGTTGAGAAGGTCAAATTTGCTCATATATCGAGCATTGTCCAGCTTATCCAGACAGTCATCGACCCGTGGTAATGAATAGGAATCCGCCTTTGTAACCGCATTCACTTTCTGGAAATCTGTGCAAAGTCTATAAGAGGTTATCAGGTTTTGGACACAAGGTGAGCTCCACTCACTAGAACTAGGTTCTATAATATTGTTCTGCAGCATATATACTCAATCTCCTTTTAAAGATAGTTCGCTTTTAAGGGATTGAGTCGGTATGGGTGTTGTTTCACAGGTTTTGCGTCACCAACATCCAAATCATGAAAAACCGCATCAATTTGTCCAGGCACATGAAACAAATGTTCATAGTTCAGCACCAAAAATTTCAGTTCTGATTTTTCAGCATCATCTGTCAAGTGAACAAACTTTGTATCCAAACAAGGACATCAGAGTTCTGAAGTCTCAAAGAGAACCATCAGTACTCAAATCATGTATACTACCATTATCTTGCTCATTTAAGTCATTATCCACCTTTGTGGTAGAAGAATCAGTTAATGCTGTAGTAGTTTCCCTACTACTTGGCATGGGTGACATGTTTTACAATACTGGACAATATCATTTTTTAATTTAGGCCAATAAAAATGGTCACGTATCTTTTGATACGTTTTGTATGTTAATACCTAAATGTCCACCTAATGGCCCATCGTGTGCTAAAGAGAGGATTTCCCTCCGATATGGTTTCGGTACCACAATTTGAGTCAGCATCCTCCAATCTTTATTGGAGGCTGCATCAAGGGGTTGCCATTTTCGCATTAAAACCCCATGTTTCTTAAAAAAAAACACTCTCACAGAAGAAAATTCATCCTCCTTTATAGCATTTGTAGCCAATTCAGCAATTCCTGGGTCGCCCACATGCTCAGCAATCAATTGCTCCCTTGTTATTGTTGACACACTCGGCTTATTGCCTGTACTTCGAGTATCAACATTAGGGATATTACCACTAAACTCAGAGGCAAGGAATGTATCCCCAAGAACCACCTCCTCAGATTGCTTGCTCATAGAACGTGTAACAGCGCACACAGGGAATAAATTAGGATTAACAGGATTGGTTTCGTCCTCAAGAGGGACCTCACAAACAATTGGGTCTGCCCTCACCTTATCCCCAGCTAAATCATTTCCCTAACAGTAAGGTGACGCCCGCAAATGGAAGTTCATGTCGAACACCTACTTTAATAGGTCCAGTAACTAAATCAGACTTAAGATAAACATTATGAAGTGGTACGTTAATAAAACCCAATTCAATCCCTTGCAGCAAAACACTATCCCCAGAAAAGGATTTGATAGATAAGGGAAGTATACCCTACAAAAGCAAGGATTGAGGACCTGTATCCCTAAGGATTTTCACAGGTTTAGGGTTAGCATTGTCCCCTAAAAGGGACACAAAACCTTCAGACATGAAGGGGGAGTACCCATCAAACGAGTTTGTAGGCATTAAGGATTTATTTTTTAACTAATCTATAGTCAGCAATTTGGCTGACGAAAAGGGCAGAGTAAACGTCCCTTGCCTTCCCAATTAATACACTCTGCAAAAGGAGTGTCAGTTTATCTTCTGGCCAATTCATACTTTGAGAGATTTTTTTCAAAATGAAGGAAACATTTATCAACATCATCCTCCTTAAAAGGAGGTACAAGGC